GAATCTGTGGTTCTTTGAATCCTGAGCTACCTGTAAAGATTAACTCAACCTGGGGAGAGCAGGATGAGGTCTGTCCTCTCACATCTCCTTTCCAGCTTCAACTCTACCATCATATTCAGGGCACTCTTGTGTAGGAACAGCTACAGCAAATTGAATTCTGGCCCACAGCTCAGTGGGCACTAGGACTAACTGCTAAGCTGCTGAGGTTCGGGTTGGGTTTCTTTACCCCTTAGAAATAACAATTAGTGCTGTGATCAACTCTGAATTCCACACTGCAAGGCTGTATCCACATCACACCTTAGAGTGTGGATTCCTCTAAGGAGACCCAGTCTGCAAATCCTCTCCTTGCACTCAGACAAGACAGTGGAATGTGCCACACTTTGCATGCTCTAAGTATCCAGCAAACATTGCCAAGAAATTCTGGTATTGATGACCAGAAACCTGGGGGTGGCAGGGAGGGGGAACATGGTTTTAGATATGAGCATTTTAATTTCAAACATATCTCAGTTTAGGGGTCTGAACAGAAAACAAACAAAAGTGTCAGAAATAACCTAGATCGGAATCTCTAAAACTCAGTGTGTTTTTGAATGCAGCAAGCTCACTTTCATACAGATACTGAAGACTTTTATTCCTCTTCTTGTACTCCTCATGCTCCTCATGCTGCTCACCCCTCACCTTCAAAGGATTCAGGGCAGTCTGCACAATCAACAGCAGAGTGGATCTCCAACACCAATTCCTCCAAATTTGCACACATATCCAAACATGGACCGTGGAAGTGATGGCCTTTGGCCAGCTACTCAACATATGGAAAGAGCAGAGAGAATGCCTGAGACACAGAAACACAGGAATTCTGTGAAGAGTTGGGGGAAGTGAAACTTAGCTGTCGATCTTCACTTCCCAGTCCTTAGGTTAATCCTGTTTTTAAAATCTCTGTGTGAAGGTGGAATGCCAGTATTATCCAAGGTTTTTTCCCTCTGGAAGTTTAAAATGTGAAATCAGCAGTTGCTAGGCATCAGTCACAATATTACAATAACTTGCATTCAGGAATAAGATGAAGCACAAATGCACCAGAAACTATAAGAATCACTCCAAAATGAACAGCGTGTGGTAAAAAATAGAAGCTATGGTGAGTCATGCAGAAACATTTGTAAAACATCTTAAATATAACAGTTGGAATTTCAGGCCTCTCAGTGGCTTTTTTATGAATGCAGGCTGACTTTTAACATAACAGGTATTTTCAGAAAGCAGACTTGTTTTTGATGGAGAGATGCACAAGGACACCTCCAAATGAACAGAACGTACCTGAACAGAAGATACATAAATTATTTCTGAGGTTTCAATCCCAAAATAATAAATGACAAAATACAATATGCCAGAAACACAGGCATTAAAGTAAAAGCATGATTTTTCACCTGACCACCACTACACTCTCAAGCAGAAAGAGTTGGGAATAACTTAAATGCCACACCTCTACTCCTGGAAACATTTCTTCATCATCGCTGCATCCTTTTTAGTACTCTAAAGAATTTCACAATCATTGAACGGGTTGATTCCTTCCCTGCAGCCTTTCCATGGAAGGTGAACCTTTCCTAACAAAATGCCAACTAAGCCAATGCCGTAGCAGCAGAAAAGCTCTCCACCTTATTCTAGAAAGGACAACTAAACCTGTTTAGACCCTGCCCAGTTCGACTTTGAGGACATGGTTTCACCAGTCAAAAACTGACCTGTCCACCCACATACCATCATAGGTCTTCGGAAAAAAGATAACTATAAACAGCAGCCAAGGGTTCCAGATTTATTACAGAAGGTGGCATTTTCCAGACTGCTGTAAGCTGGGCTTTTTTCCTGATTTCCATGAAACACACTTAGCCTAGGTCTACTGGGCCCAGCTCATGCCACATCAAATGTAAAATACTCATTGCTATAAGCACCAGGCAGAAGTACTTTGGACAGAGATTAGAATTTCTTCATCAAAAGCTCTCAGAAGTATCCCATGGCATTCCATGTCAAAGCATGCTCCTTTTTGATCATGGCCTCATGGTTTATACACTACAGCTCACAGGAAAGCCTTTGCTGATCTTGCTTTGTTAAAAGGCTCCATCTCCTGTAAGGACACCAGGGAAACCCACAGCAAAGGAGCTTCCTTAAACCCAGTCCTCGAGGACGTGCAGTTCCCTTGCTCGCCTCCTGCTCCGCAGTCCTGCTTGTTTGACCTCTGAGCAAAACATTTCCCTAACACAAACGTTCCTCTCCTGCTGGCTTTACAGTCCTGCCCAGCCTTGCTTCCCATCTCCCTGGGACCCCACTGCTGCCCCTGGAGCCAGCTCTGACCCAGCAGCAAGCCATCACAAAAGGACAGACCTGTGTCCCACAAAGCAGCAGATGCACACTGCACACACCTGCCTGCACACAGTGCTGCTGGCACTGGGGGCCTGCACACCCCTGTGTGACAGTGACATGCTGAAAGTCACACAGCCACACAGGATGCTGCTTGGATGAGAGCTCAGAGCTCCTGTCTCATCCTACATTTAAACTTCTCCCTCTTAGTGAGCAGACTGCATTTTATCAGACCTCCTTAGGGAAAGCAACTGCTGGTCTGGAGAATTGTTCCTGGCAGGAAAACAAACCGAAAAAAACTCCCTCTCAGGTATAGTTACCACCATTTTCATAACAGGAATTACTACCAGATTTCATCTGCAAACAATGCATTCTGAGGCTGTTCTCTTCATGCTTGGAGAAGACAAGTATAATTTACGTTCATAAATCAATCAATTCCTGAAGGGCAGATCAGGATTTACCACAGAGCTGTCAAGCCAGAATCCATGAATACATAGATTTTCTTTTATCGAGTCAAGAAGCAACCAGCCCTCTAGCAGTGCCTCGACTGCAAAATCAGGCTCCTGGCTCGCTCTAAATGCAACCTCCCCCACGTAAAGGCGCCTCCCGTTGGCAAAACCTGCCAATGGACTCTGCCAGGGCGGGAAGGCATTCCCCATGTCAGTGCCAGTGCCTCCCAGGGACCTGCCAACAGCTCCTCAGTGACCCCAAAACAGCCACAGCAACTCACAGCGGCAACTGAAGCAAAAGCTCCTTCTCTGCCCCAGTAACTGAGCGTTCCCAGCTCCCCATTTCTCAGGGAAAACCATTCATGCATGTGTGCCTGCCTGTGAACACAAGGCTCAGAACAAACAGCTCTTTCCCAGCAGCTCAGTGCCGGGGAAAGGGAAGCCTTGGGGCTGCAGAGGTTCATGCTGGAGGTTACAACCCTTGTTAGCAAGAGGAAACACAGGTTGCCTGTTGTGCTTGCAGTTCTCAAGGCTAACCCTTCAGACAGCTTTACCCCTTCATTTTCCTGCACTTCCCAGCTAATTAGAGAGGTGATTTGTACCTTTCTTTTTCATAATTCACAGCAATTAGTACAATAATGATAGAAATTTTAAAAGAATAAACGTGACCAGACTCTTTTTCAATAGCTGTGGAGCACTCAAGAGAAACGCCAGCTAATAGTGTTCCTTCAGCTTGTCCCTAACGTTGGTATTCAACAACAAAAAACCCAAAAAACCCAAACAAACAGTAGATATTTGCCAAATATCTTTTGTCCCGCATTTCTCATTGTGCCAAAGTGTATTTTCTGTTTCTGTTAACAGACTCCCTAAGATTCAGTCAAATTGACCTTATTTCTAGAAATACACGTGAGCACTCCTGTAACATCAAAGACGGGTATGTGAAATTACTCTGCATTATAATGCACTGAGCACAGCTATGAGAATTTTTAAAAAATCAATTGCAACAAAGGTTTAGCCTCGAGGCAAAGGTCCTTAAATTAGCAGCTTCAATGCTGAAAGCCAAGTGCGCAAAAGAAGTAGGACATCCCTGCTGAATGGGGAGCCTGCACCTGCCCACACACTGGAAATGGAAAGGGATGCACTGCGAACCCAAACACAAACGACCGTAAGCATTTCTAACCAGCTTTCCCGAAGGAGTTGCATGTGCTTCACATTTCCGTGTATCACGTTTAACTCACTGACTGCAACACGCGGGGAAGGGCACGGCTGCAGCCAGCGGCAGGGAGCGGGGCTCACCTCGACAGACAGCCCTGCCCACCGGCAGGGACACACGGACACAGCGCGCCTCAAGCCCTCCGCTGCCAACTTACTTTGCTGCTTCCCTCCCGCATTTCCCTGCCAAGGTTACTCTCCCAGCTGTCACAGAAGATGTACATGATCTTTCTTCTACTGTTTTATGTCCACTTCTTAAACACCCTCCTTCCTGCCAGGGGGAGCCCAGAAAGAAAGCTGGATATCCTCTGCCCCGAGCGCTTGCCAGTTCCCACCAAAATGACACAAAGCCCTTCACCAAGGGGAGGCAATGAAGACAAAACCAGGTCCTTTCACAAAAGAGACTCCTCAAAGGGCGTTCAGTCGTTATACAAGCGATTTGCTGCTTTTAAGGCTTCAAAAGGCAACTCCAATGAAGAAGCCTGCTCTGGCTTAATTCATTAGCGCCAATGAAAAAACTGTGAAGGTTGGCGGCTCCTGATGCGAGTTTGCCCTACAGGGAGAGGGATGCAGCCTGAAAATAACAAAACAAGTCGCACTTTTCAACACAGTTTTGACAAAACACACAGGATCCCTTATATAAACCTTAAACTTGCCTCGCTCGGCAGCAAAGTGAGAAAACAGCAGTAAAAAGTTGGGCGAGTATGGAGAGGAGGGACAAGAAACTTCAAACCAGGAGAGCGGCGGTCACACAGCGGCAGCCGCGGGGAGCCCGGGTGAGGGACGGGCACAGCGAGGTCTCCGGGCGGGGAGCGGGCTCCACTCCCCCCTAATCGGAGCTTTTGGATAAGGGAGACCGAGTTCGCCACAAAGCGGGGATGGGGAGCAGCCCGGCGCGGGAGTGTGGGAAGGGGACCGGCAGGAGCCAGAGGAGCGGCGGGGAGCGGGGATGGGGACGCGGCGGAGCGTGGCGGCCGAGCGCGCCCCCCGTCCCGCACGCACCTCCTGGAACAGCTCCAGGCTGTAGGTGTTGTCGTCGTCGGCGAAGAAGAGCACCCCGGGCTGCGGGGGCGGCAGGTGCTGGTGCCGCTGCCGCAGCCAGGCCAGGCCGGCGTTGCGCTGCTCGGTGGCGCGGGGCAGCCCCGGGCGCTTGTAGCGGCGCGGCGTGGGGACGTGCAGGTGCGTGCAGGGCAGCCCGGCGCCGGCCACGAAGCGGGTCACCAGCTCGCTGCGCGCCGCCGCGTCCTCCACCAGGATCCAGTGGAGCCGCGACACCTGCCGGAAGGTGTTGGCCAGGCGGGTGAGCTCGGCCTTCTGCACCGGGCGGCTGTAGGTGGGCGTGATGGCATAGATGGTGGGCAGCGCGGCCTCGGGCCGCCGCCGCGGGGTGGGAGGCCGCGCCCCGCCGCTACCGCCCTCGGCCCCGCCGCGGGGGGACAGCGCGGGCAGCGGCGCCCGGCTGCTGTCGATGTCCAGCACGATGATGACGATGAGCACCCAGGGCAGCAGCAGGAGGAAGCGGCTGAAGAGCAGGGACTTCATGCTGCCCCCGGCGCCCTCCCGCCGCGCCGCCGCTCAGCGCCGCCCCATAGACGGGCGCGGCGGGGCTGCCCCAGCGCGGGGCTCCGCGGGGCGCCCGGGCGGCGGCGGCCGGGGCGGGGGGCAGGCGCTCCCTCCCTCCTTCCCTCCCGGCGGGGCGGGTCGGGTCCGGGAGCCCCGCGGTGCCTGCGGGGCAGGAGCCGGCCCCACTCCCGCCGCTCCTCTATTCCAGCGTCCGCTCTTCCTCCTCCTCCTCTTCCTCCTCCCGCTTCACCCTCGGCATCGCCGGACCGGGGCTCGGCGGGGGGCTCTAGGGAGACGCTCCTTCTCCTCCGCTTCCCCGGTCGGCTCTGGCGGAGCGCGGGGGCGGGGAGGGGAGGGCGGGCAGGCGGCAGGCAGGGAGGGAGGGTCCCCGCGGGCGGAGGCTCCCGCCCCGCCCCGCTCCGGCTGCCGGCCGCGGGCAGGAGCGGCGGCTCGGGGAGCTCCGCGCTCGGCGTCCGCGGGGACCGGGACCGGGACGGCCACGGGGCGCTGCTTCTCTCTCCGCGGCGGGCGACAACTTCGGCCGGTGGCCGGGACGCCTTCCCTGGGTCAGCGCCGGCTGCCGACGGGCAGGGCAGGGCGGGCGGACGGGTCCGTGCCCGAGCACTCACCCCTCGGAGGGGCGGAGAGCCGCTCGCTTCGTCTCTGCTTCGGTTTGGTTTTTGGGTTTTTCCCTACGCCGGCCGAAGTAAGAAGTTGTAAATAAGGCGGCGGTTTGCCGCAGCTCCCCCCGGTGCCCGGCAGTCGCTGTCGCCTCCCGCACCGCCCGCGCTCCCGGCGCCGCAGCTCCCCGGAGATCTCATGGAATTGAGAGCTCCTTCTTAAAAAGCATGCGTATATCAGAATTTCGTAATAATCTGCCTGTCTTTATTTTGAGGAAAAGGCATTCATCAGGTGCTGCAACACACATGAAGTGCACAATCTAAAACCTCTCACAAATCCCTTCCTCACAGGGAAGTTTCCGATGCATTTTTCAACACTCCCTGCTGTCATAACTAAACGCTTCCTTACAGCTTGAATTATGCTTTTAAAACTTCATGCTGCATAAGAACACAGAAGCACAGCAGTAGAGTTTGCAAATTACCGAGTTTGCCACGATTCTCTGATTAAAACGTAGAGATCGATTGATGTTCTCCCTGGCTTCTGAGCTATTTGAGATAAGAAATAGAATGATTCGTCACTGATACTTTGATTTTTGGTAGGAACAGCATGGCTTGCAGGAAGGGGGATGCCTGCACACCAGCCTCCTGGGCTTACACCACTGCTTTCTTCCCTGTTTTGTATTCAGCCTTCACATTTGCATGTGGGTAACAAATGTAGATAACGTGGACACTCTGTCTATCTATCATTCATATCTATCCCAAATCGATTTGTTAATCAAAAGGATACATACACAGAGGACATGGATCTGATGTAATGTAAGCTGAAATTCATGAGAAAGTGAGGGCGACACCTGGCCTGGCACTGAACATCTGAACAAAGAAACATCTGTGTAGCAAAGAGATAACAGAGTTAGCATGTTTAGAGGAGGAGTGGAAGGGTTATTATGCGATTAATGAAATAATATGGAGGAATGGAGCAAGCATAAATAGTTCAATATATTCAAATCAAGAACATCTCAGACACAAAATTACAGTTGCCTCGCTTATGCTGGTGCTGTTTATCTAGAGAACGATCACCTAAACTCTGTCTTTCCAGTGACTGAGCACACCATTGTTTCCTCATTTCCAGTACAATTCTATTTACAGAGATAATTTGTTCAAATAATGCAAACATGTGTATCAAAGCAACATACCAAGAAGATATTGCTTGGTATCATTTGCAAGTCAGCAATCATTTGGAGAAGTTAATTCTAAGCTTGCCCTTCTAGATACTCTATGATACCATGTCAGGATTCTTAAAAACTTATTGGGACAGAACCTAGAAACTAAGGGTTACAAATGCATGTATTTAAACGGCATTCTTTATATCCAAGCATATTAAAATATTTTTAAAATACTGTTTTTCTCTTTATATTACCTTTGATCCAAAAATATTATCTTTAGTTAACTTGTGTGTTGTATTCAGAGCCTATAGAGGATACTTAATAGTTTGTGGCTGTAAGACCTTAGGAAAAGCAGCAATAAGAATAGCTGAATGTAATTGCTGCAGTTTGGGAAGGAGCACAAACAGTGAGCACCAGGGAGGTATCCCGATGAACTGTGATCTTCCATCTCTTTAATTGTATTCCTCAAAGCTGGAAACTCTGTTTCTCTGTGCTAGCTAACAAATGGTGCCTTTACTCCTAGCACGGCTGCTGTAACAGCAATATGAGACACGTGGTTATGTGATAACAAATCGCAACGATTTCATTTTGCCCTCAGAACCGCTGTAACACTTTCAGGTGCCACAGAACAGGCTCGGAGGTCATGAGCCAGATGCATCAGGTGTGATAGCAAATAATGCAGCAGCCTTTTCCCGTTAGCTTCACGTGCAGATTATTTCAGATGGAATGGTAAAAGATAACAAAGGCACTACACACAAGCCAACTGCTATTTATTAAATTGTTGTTTCTTGATAAGCAAGGCATAATGTTCTTCCTCTGGAAACTGGAAGAACCCAGTCAAATTACCACTCCATTTGTGGGGGCAAACTCTCTACAGAGATACTTTTTTCAGCTGAACACCTTGGTGCTGGTTATTATAAAAATTGTCACATTTGATTTGAGGCCTCAGGTGCAACTCTGAAACAAAGGACGAGTTTCTAACTTGTGATGGATGGTACCAATCACTGTGTGACTCAGGCTGTTCCTATGGTTTCACACATAGCATGCAGCACAGTGCATATTCTGAGTACTATCAGAGTGTGTGGGCAGGCATTTCTCTTTAGGATCTGGTCCAGAATTGTTTGTTTGCAGTAGTTTATGGTTTGGGTCATCTATTATGGTGTTGTGATTGCTGCCTCCATTCTCCAAAGATTTTTTTCAGAGATGTGTCAGGACTTGGCATCCAATTTTTCATTTGTTTTCAAAAAAAAGCTACTTCAGTTTCTTGTGCTTCTTACCGGCAGAGGATGTGTGACTCTGGCAGGAGAATGCTCAACACAGTCCTGGAGAGCAGCCTGTGTGTGCAAGTGTGCATATGCACACCCATACTAAGGAAATCCCATCCCTAGGAATGCTCTCCACAGGCCCATGGAGGCTTCCTTTCCAAACAGGAGCCCACAGGAGCTGCTGCCTGGATGCAGTCACAGGGGGTTGTGTAATGCTGGCAATGCCAGCAAGGCTGTGCCCTGGCTCCTTCCTTCTTCATTGCTTTCAGTCTTTCCAATGTCTGTAGAAAAGAATAGGTGTGGCAGGAGAGTTGCCTAGCTGTGCAATAGATGTGCTGTACCATCATCCTTAAAACAATTCAGATTTTTTTGCCTTTCTCCCCGTCCTGAGTCAGGGTCACCCACACATCAGGCAGCTCTGGTTAGGGACTTCTGCTGCACCCCCATCCAGCCTCTCATGCCTGGCAAGGGACAAGCTGGCCAAGCCTTTTGCTTGCTCCATTTGAATTTCCCCAGTTTCTGAACATCAGGATTTGCTAAAGCTAGGTACACTTAAACTGTGTTGTTTGGGTTTTTTTTCCCCCTAGTTATTGGAAAGTTGGTCTGAGTTATATGATAGCATTTGAAATAAAGCTATTAAAATTTATTGTTTCATAGGTTCTGCAGCTGATAGAACCATTACAGTCCCATGGGAAGCAGAAGCAAAATCAGTTGGATAAACATATAAAAATGTGCAATTATTTTTAACTAGTGGATGAAACACTGGAGAGAAATAGTTTCTATTTCATGTGGCTGTAATTGAATAGATTAAACCCAAGGATGGTTCATTTCTTTGGGCTGTTTGATATTTTCCTTTCAAAAGCAGTGACTGGTGGTGACTGGAGGTGGGTAATTAGCTCTGGCATGCAAAGGGGCTCATCGACCTGGCTCCTGTGATGGGTAAATCCAGATGCCAGGTGACTCAAATCACAGCAGGCAACAGAGTAGCCTGCCTGTCTGAATGAAATATGGGCTATAGTGTAGTTTCTAGTGTTTGCAGTTACACCTTTTGGCGTTGCTCAGTCAATCAAAATGTGTAATTAGCCAAAAAAAAAGGGCATTGAGGCTGCATCCCACAGGAGTGTCAGAGAACATCTGCTGTGCACTACACACTGAAGTGCACAAGCCTGATCTCAGTGGAGTCACAGAGTATCCAGGGATTCAAATGAGAACAGATTTATTACACGTTAGTGAGGGCCCAAAAGACCAGTGTGTAAGCCAGGCATCCTCCTGAGAAGGTGATGCTCTGCCATCTGACAGGCACGGATCACCACTCCAAGTCTCTTCTGCACAGAGGCATCTTGGCATCAGCAAGGGGCAAAAAAGGTACAAAAAAAATGAAGCTGCAGCAGAGAATACAGCAAAAGCATTATTTCTTCTGTCCTCTTCTGCTCCTTTTCTCCTATTTCAGCCCCATTAGACCACCTAACAGTTTTTCTAAGAAAGCACATTTTCCTATACTATCCAGTTATGGGAGCCCCTGAGACGTTTAATCATGCAGCTCAGGAGAGAAAGCCCCACACCCTCACACAGGACACTCTGTGTCACAAAACACAGGCTGTGGAGACTGGGCTGGACTTGCTAAAATAATGTGTGAGGGGTCTGTGCTGCTCAGAAACAGGAAACAGCTGCCCAAGCTGACAGTGAGGAGTGAGACTGCATGTTTATCTGTGCATGTAGGCCATTTTGAAATAATTTTCTCTAGTTCTTTGTTCGTTTTCCTAATAAGCCAACTTGTTTATCACTATAGCAACCAGTGACAGATTCCTGGAAAGAAGAGCTGCAAATGCCCATTTGGACCTCTTTGGTCACGGGTGCTTGGTAGGAGCAAGGTGTCACACCTGCCCCCCAGAGCTCTGAAATGCCATGCAGGGAAAGAGCAGGGTAAGGCAGGTGTGACAGTGTGACACAGTGTGAGGGGCATGTGCAGAGTGAACAGGGCTAATGGAAGCCATCACAAACCAAAAGATTTTGTTTTAAATGAAAATTAACCTGTTATACACAAGGCAAAGTTT